TCGCCGACGTCGCCGTCGCCGTCGTCGTCGTCGCCGCCCCCGCTGCCGCCGCCGCCGCCGACGCCGCCCTGCTCGCGGCGCGTCGGAGTCGCAGCCGCCGCCGTCGCCGCCTCCACCCTCGCCATCGTCGTCGCTGTCGCGGGGGCCCCCCCGCTGACCAGCGCGAAGCTGCCCCCAATTTTCCCCGCCACAGCCCAGCCACTGACCCGCGCTGCGACGTCGCACTCCGGGCGACCGTCGCGGGCTCCACTTCTTCAAACGGCCCCCGCCCCCCCCCACCAACAGCTCCGCGCGCTTGGGCGGCCCCCTGCAGAGACCGTCGACGTCGCATTACATCTTCGCCTCTTCGGCGCCCACAAACCCTCGCGCGACCCCCGCCAGCGCTTCGGAGGCGCGCTCCGCGACAGAATGCATCGCAGCCAAGATACCGCTGTCTCGCGCAACAGAACTTCTTGCAAACTCCCACGCTGTCGGACAGCATTCTCGCCCTTGATTGCATCCGACCCACGCTGCGCGAGCGCCCCAGAGCACCCCGCCTCGATGCAACCACAATTTGTCATTCAAAACCCTCGCCCCCTATCTTTGAATAGAAGGTCAGGCTTCGACGCAGCATTCTGGAAACGGACATTCACCGCTGCCCCGACTTCCCCTCGAGACACGACGCCCTCTGCGGCGTCTCACCAAGGAAGCTGCCGTCGAAACAATCCACACGCAACTTCCCCCTGCACAGAATTGCGAACCACCCGACGCGCAAACCACTTGTCGTTGCGCGTTCAAGACAGCACCTGGCTCGCGAACACCACCCGCTTCGCCCGCGCCCCCCATGACAAAGCCGCCCTTGTAAATCTGAACTTGCGCCCCCATGGCGGGCGCGTGTCCTCGCGGTGACATTCCGCTGAAATCACTGACTAGATGATAGACTCAGCGAAGGGCTGCTTCGTCGCGGGCCTCGCGGCTGCTTTCGGACACGCTGCAATGACCCTGCCACGAATAGATTACACGCCTTTCTTCCTCTTCGAAACCATAGCCGACCTTGAAATCGCTGCCCCGCTGGCCCTCGCCAGCATGGCCGGCGCGCCCAACTCGTCGAAATCGCCTTGCCGGGGAGCTAGTCATCGTCGGCATCATCAACGCCGCATAGCAACTACTCGACGGCTTCCGATCGCGGCGCCCCCCCGTCAGACTTCCTTTACTTCCAGGCGATGTACGCGAGCGCCCCGCGCTCGGCCTTGCCGCCGTCGCCCCGCGCCTCAATTGGCGCCCACGCCTCGGCCCGCTCGCGCGCGCGCGAAGCGCGCCGGACTTCGCCCCCAGCCATAGCGCGAGAAGCGCATCCTGCTCCTGCGCGCCGCCCAGATAATCGACCACGCACGCCTGGAGCCAAGTCCGATCTGCAGACGGACTTGCACATGCTTGAATCGAGCCAGCAGACGCACTGATAACATTGCCTTCGGCCTGACTGGGCCCCAGATTCACGCGCACTCAGACCAGTTCTGCCCGGGCGCCGACGGCCAGACACACTCGCGCGCGCGCGCTCACACCCGCGAACTTTCTCCACGTTGAGACCCTACCCTTGCCCACGCGCATGCGCACCCGCGTTCGCTCGCGCTCAGACGCGCGCGCCTTCGCATCGCCTAGGGCCATGGACACCCGGGCCCCGTCGCGCGCAGGCCCGCCCACATTCAGACTCCTTCGCGCCGTGTCAGACCACTCTCGCCCCGCGCCGGGGCCCACTCACACAGGGCCCCCCGGACCCCTCGCGGCCCGCGCCGGCGGCCACTCGCACATAGCCACTTGGACTCCCCCGAGGCGCGGCCCGCCGAGAGCGCGCACGGACCCCCACGGGGACCTCCAACCACTGGGGAACCCGCCGCGAGTCCTTGCCGCCGCGGCCACAGCGCCGGCGACACCGAGTCGCCGAAGGTCACGCGAGGGGTCTCGACGCCCCCATCGGCGGGCCCTCGCTGGAACAAAAATAAAATAATATAATATTTAAAAATTGAAGTCGCGGGCGACCCGCCCCACTGGCCCGCGCGGGGCCCACGCGAACGCGCAGCGCGCAACCGCCCGCGGAGGGCGCCGCAATCAAGGCGGAGGGGGGGCATCTTGGCTTCTCGGATCCTGCGGGGCCCTCCCGGGGCTTCCCCGGGCCTTCGATGCTCTCCGCTGAACGTCGCGGAGCTGCCTTGCCTGATCAGCAGAAGGCTATCCGATGCCACGGCAAACTCCATCAGAATGCCGAACTACTTCATGTCTTGTGAGGCAGTACGTCATGCTGCATGCTGGCTGTAAAAATTTCCTGTACCGCCTTGATGTTGCGCTGCCGAGGGAGGCGTGGTCCTCCGATGGCCCAATGCCCCTCCGTCTGCACAAATCCTGATGCATGACTACCTTTCTTGCCACCAGCATCTCACCTGCGACGCCGAAGAGGGGGCGACGCCCAAAGTCACTCGAGGCCCCAATGAAAGGACACCATGCGCCCGATTAAACTTGCGACGAAACGCCATATTGATCAATAAGCACCCCCCTGCGTGCGACGTGCTCGGGGCCATCCAGGCACCTTTGAGACGCGTCGCAACGCCGATGGGACTCGCCCCTTGAATCTCCATGCCCCCATCTGCCCTGATGATGCGCGCTGCGCCCTTCGCCCTCAAGCAGGCGGCGACTGCCGACAATGTCTCGACGCTGGGGCCCGCTAGCCCCACCCCTGTCGCCAGGCACACGGCCGCGAAGATTGCGTCGACGCCCTGCGTTCTGAGTGTGGCTGCCGCCCATTGATCCACATCACACTTGCGGTTTGGCATCGAGCTCCAGCGGCAATGCCTCTTCGCGTGGGCCCACGTTCCAGCGCGCCCACGGACCCCGCGCGCACTGGCTGCCACTGCTGCAACCGACTCGGCCGACCATCCCAGCCTTGAAAATATCACTCTTGGCCCCGTTGAGTTTCGACCCTCCGACGTGGCGTTACGATGCGCCAGAGACGTCTAAAGTCACCTAGTCTTGAATCATGACCCCTGATGCACGACATGGGCTTATCTTCCCAGCTCGCGTCGACGCTGAAACCCAAGCAGGGCCCATCCTCTCTGCGCAGGGCCTTCGTCACCTGAGGGGGCATCATCACCTACCCCAGCGGCTTCGGCCACCCGCGCGTCAACGGCACTGGGTCGCGCGCGAGCAGGGACTGGGGAACGGCCACCCGCGCGCCCGCGGCCAGCCCCCCCTTCCCCCCGACCCCTCCTTGGCCCCAAAGATCTGCCAGGCCCCGCCCCCCGGGAATAATCCCGGAAATCACGCTCAAAAACTTAGGCGCCTGCGCTAGAAGGCGCTGCCCCCAGGTAGGCATTGTCGTCGATCCTGGCGGCCTCGCCCACCCGTCCGCCCACGGCACTGGAGCGCACATGAAAATAAGTCGGGGGCTGCGCCGCGGCCGCCAGCGCGCCCGCAGAGACCCCCCCCCCACTCTGCGCCTCCCGGGCCGCTGCCACCATTCCAGTGGGCCCTCCCTCCTGGAAGTAGAGGCTGACATCATCGGCACCTCCAGCGGCTTCGACCACCCGTCCGCCGACGGCGCTGGAATGCGCAGAAGTTGGGACTGCGCTTCGGCCACCCGCACGCCCGCGGACAGCCCCCCCCCAATCTCCGCCTCCAAACCCGTTGGCGCACCATCCCAAACACCCCACCTTCATGGAAATAGGGGCTGGCATTGTCGTCAACCCCAGCGGCGTCGGCCGCCCGTCCGTCGGCGGCACTGGAGCGCGCGCAGAAGCGGTGACTCCGCTACGGCCACTCGCGCGCCCGCGGACAGTCTCTCCCACTCTCTGCTCTCTTGCCCAGTGTCCTGCCAAACCACTCAACCCATCTATATGGAAGCAAAGGCTGCTGTCAAATTCGTCGCTTCTTCTTTCTCGCAATCTCAACAACGCGACCATGGCTGCGACACGCTGATCATAGATGGCGCCTTGCCCGCTCCATGTCGCAATGAGGTGTCGCACTAGCTTGACCACTGCTGGCCCAGAGAGATCCGAAACACCCTCGGCCCCCATGAGCGCGTCCCCCAGTGCTGCCGCTGCCGCGGCTGCCCCGATGCTAGCGCTAGCACTGCCATCACCGCCATCACCGCCATCGCCGACCTTGGGAAGGCCTTGTTTCCGCATCGCCGTGGGCTTCTCGATGGTGGCCTTTACCTCCCTGGCCTTCTTCGGCGGGCCCCGCTGCCCCATCCACCGGCGCCATAAGTTTGGCGAACAACTGTTTGAGTTGGCCAAGTCCGCCCCACACCTCTTGCCCAATGGTTGGAATCTGAGCGTTCTGCCCAAGCTTTTGGGATGCACTGCGCCTCGTTTATTCAAACTCTGCCCGCTTTCCGCCTGAAGCAAGTTTATTTTGCGTTCTTGAGACCTGCCGCGGGACATCCTTGACAGGGGCATACGACGCCTGCTGGTTTGAGCCTGCTGCGGTAAGTAATCTTCTTTCGTTCATTCTGCGTGAGAGCCAGGTTGTTAACATTACAATTCTCGTACGCCATCGATACCCGGAAGTCGATTTCTTCTCGGGATATGGAGTCTGGACAGTCGTAGGCTGCTTCTCCGGCTGGTTAGTTCCTCCCCTTTGGTTGGACCACGAGGGGAGGTCCCTGGTGCGGTCGTGGGCGCTTTGGGACTCTCCCCCCCCCTAGCCCATTTTCCGCGCGGTCCTTGTTTGGGTCCACATCTTGGCACAAGACCATCCAGCCGATAGCCACCACACTTGGAGCACCTGGATCTGGCCCCGCGGATCCACGCATTACGGAATCACGGAAGCACGGAAGCACGGAAGCACGCCCGCACATGGGCACCGTCTAGGGTGCTGCGGGTGCGGCGCCGGAACGCCGGAGCGTCAGAAATCGAAGCCTGATCCGAAGTCCTGCTCAGTCGTGTTCCAAGGTTCCTTTTGCGGTATCTTCCACGCATTACACTGTCTGCAATCCAGACCCATCATTTCCTGGTCAGGGACCGCACCGG